TGAAATTCTCTCTCAACTGCTGCTGCTTTTGCGTCCTCTCTAGCCTTATCAGCCTCATATTTCGCCAGTTCCCTCACCAAAGTCAATTCACCTTGGCGAGTAAGTTCTTCCATGAACTTTGCATAATCATTCTTGGAAGCACTCCCTTTTCTCTTTGAAGCCTTCTTACCTTGAGGCCTAATTGGATAATGGGTCGAACCCGACGCTTGTTCAGGGAGGGGCGTTTTGGGCACTTCCTCTGCATCATCTTCATGAACATGATCGGGTGTAGAGTGTAGAGGGGTGTTGTTCATGTGCACTTCTAGACCGACTGGCACAACTCTAAATTTAGGACAATCTTTGACAATATTCCAACATTCCCACCGGTTGAATGATTTATTTTTGCTTTTGGTTTTGGCAGCGTACCAAGCTTATGCTTGAAGTTCCTACACAATGAAAATAAGTAACAAATAAATAATACAAATAAATAATTATAATGAAAATAAGTAACAAATAAATAATACAAACAACATAATTATAATGTAAGTAGGTAACAAATAAATTGTGACATCCCACAATCGCCCAGGGGAGTGATCCTTATATGTATATTCCCATATCTACCTAGCACGAGGCCTTTTAGGTGGATTGTGACATCCCACATCGCCCAGGGGAGTGATCCTTATATGTATATTCCCATCTCTACCTAGCACGAGGCCTTTTGGGAGCTTACTGGCTTCGGGTTCCATCGGAACTCCGAAGTTAAGCGAGTAGCGCACGAGAGCACTCCCAGGATGGGTGACCCATCGGGAAGTTCTCGTGTGAGTTCCCTGAAAAAAAACCATGAGGGCGTGGTCGGGGCCCAAAGCGGACAATATCGTGCTACGGTGGTGGAGCGGGCCCGGGAAGTGATCCGCCCCGGGCCGGGATGTGACATAAATAATACAAACAATAAATAATAAATTATGTAGGTAACAAATAAATAATACAAACAAATAATTATAATGTAAATTTGGGTATCAAATAAATAATATATTGTTACCTGATCCGAGTAATTTTCCCCACTTCGAATATTACTACTAGCTTGTGCCAAGGCGTCTCTGCACGTACTAAACGATTGGCTAAGTAATTTCCAACGACTGGACATTGATTCTTTGGTTCTTTGCCCACCAATTTTTTGAAGATAATTGGTATGAATAAGACTCCACATTTCTCGCAACTGCATCTCATTACCCGTAAGCGAACTATGAGTAACTTCAACCCAGCTAGTACACAACGCAACATCTTCAATAAGCGATCAATTCGTACCTGCACCAGTGGTCATTTTGTTGAAAAAAAAATGGATTCAAACTTTGAGACAAAGAAAGGAATGTGATTGAAAGTAGTTGAGAAAATATGAAATTGTTGTGTAAGGTAGATGATAATGAGAAGGTATTTATAGAAAAGTAAAAAAAAAAAATTTTACAATTTTTTTCGGAGTTTTCAGATTTTTATTTTTGAATTTTTTTGAATTTTTTTGAATTTTTTTTTAAATTTTTATTCAATTAATTAATCTCTGCCGTTGGATATAAAAAAATTTGAATTCCAACACTCCAGATTGTGCCACATGTCACAACGGTAACTTTTCTTAATTTTAAAACTATTTTTTCTTTTATTTTTTTATTTATAAAGAATATTAATATCCACCGTTGATCTCAGATCGAACAGTGGATATTAAATCTGACTTTTTTATTTTATTTTTGACCGTTGAAATCGAACGGTCCAAATTAAGTAACTGTTGAGATCTAACGGACCGTGGGAAGCCATGCGGCTTCCCAACAGTAACTGACAAACTTTTTTTTTTTTTTTTTTTTTTTTTTTCTGATTTTGTGTTGGCGACGTGCCCCCACACGTGAGTGGGGCGCACGCGCCTGACACAAAAAAAATTAAATATTGCGCTGACGCCAGGCTGATGTCAGCACTGACGTCACATAGCCTCAGGCTCTCGGGCTGGCAATTCCCCACGGGCCTGGAGCTCTGGCCTCCACCTTCACTCGAGCTAGCCCATGCTGGAGCTGATCCACCAGGCCTCGGGCCCTTGTTCCGTCCCTGTCCCCCGAGCAATACCCCACGCTAGGCTTGCTCTAACAGGAGCCCTAACTTTCAATTCCAAAAGTAAAGCAGCACTGGAGTTCCGGATTTAGAGACGGGAGTCGAAAGATTTCCAATAGAAATATGGGAGGGATTTTTATGGCTTACTAGGATTTTGGGTGGGTAGGGGGAGAGAGAGAGAGAGAGAGACCAAAGGGTCGTGGTGGTGGGGGAAAGAGGTGGCTGCGGGTGGAGGGTAGAAATATGGGAGGGATGGTGATGGCTCCTATGGTTTTTGGTTTTGTTTTATTTTTTATAATTAAAATTGTTTTCTTAAGTTTTTGAATTATTTTGTGCCCTCGTATCATAATTTATTGGTAATTATAGTTGACAAGTAAGAATGGATTATGAAGACTAATCTCCTCTTCAATTTGACAGAATAGTGGACGAAATCTAACGATGAAGGGTTAATTGGTTGATTTTAAATAGCTTAAGAAGTTAATTTACCAAAAAAACAAAAAAACAAAGGGTTTAGGAGGTCAATTTCAACTAGAGTAATAGTTCAGGAGGTTAAATGACAGTTTACCCATTTTTAATACACCTAAATTTTCCACTTAGTACGAGGGTCTAGTGTTATTCATCTTCACTTATAAGCACTGCTTGATATTTTCACAGAAATATCCAAAAATTCAGGGAAAGATATGAAACAAGGGGGTGAAGTCTAAACTTCACCCCATATCCATGATATTTTAGGAAATCAGTCAATTTCCTCAATATTTTCAATATTTTCAGGAAATATCCAATGTTTGCACACAATTTGCAAAAAGTTTGCATGAAATATCCATGAGCCTATGCATTCTTTATTTTTTTTAATTTCTTTCTTTATGGTATTAGTTTACTTCAATAAAACTTATTCTGCTTTCATGATGAAAATTTTAATTAAGTTATATATAATTTATTCTTTCTAATGAAATGCTTTATTTTATTACTTGTCATTATAAGGAAGTTTTTCTTCTCACATATCACATACTTATTGTTTACACAGTATCTAATCATTAATTTTTTATTCATATGTGTGTTGTGGCTTCATATGGCATTCCCTAAAAAATAATTTTAAATTTCCATGTTTTTGAGAAAATTTTCATCATTTCCATCGAATGCAATCAATATCAATATACGATATATCCATTGATATTTCCACAATCTGCCTATCGATATTTCAACTGATACCAATATTTTAAACACTGCTTGTAAGTGAGAGGTCTTAGGTTCGATTCTAACCAAAGGCAACTTGGAACCTCATTACTGCTAGCCCATTATGAGACTAGGCCCACCCCTTCTCCTTTAGTATAGATAAGATCATTTGTTTAAAAAATACCCCTAAATTTGGATGGACTTTAAAATGTCTATTAAAATCTCAATTAACTACACATAGATTTGTATGAATTCTAAGAATGTCTGTTAAAATCTCAATTGACTACACCTGAATTTGCAGAGATTCTAATAATGTCTACTAAAATCTTAGTTGACTACATGAATAGATTTCGGTTACATGATGAAGGCATAACCATTGGACATTTTAGTCATATCTTTCTGGTGAATGCTTTCGCTATTTTTTGAGCTAGAAATTCATTGTCTTAGATGTCAACCGTGTCATTGTTTCAAAATGTAGTTTACGAATTTGGTCTAGTGGCTCTCGATCTCCACTTTATTGAAGATTTAGTTCAAATCTCATAAATGGGTTTTGTAGATGGTATCTCATGCATTAAGCTTGAAACCCATTGTCCTAGATGTCAACCGTGTTATTGTTTCTAAATATAGTTTATGAATTTGGTCTAGTGACGCTTAGTCTCCATTTTATCGAAGATTTTGAGTTCAAATGTCATAGACGGACTTTGGATGAAAGAAACCTGCTCTCTACCAAATTCAGTATGTACCTAATGTTGATAGGAAGTTTGGACAAATGTTTAGTAAAACAATAACAAATCCCATAAATTGAGCAGTCGACATTCAGAAAGACATTTTGTGATGACCCGTCCAGGAATTTACAGAACAAAAGGGCATTTTTGTAACTTCACTAGGATTGGGATATTTATTTTGAAATGGGTTTGCTTTTAGATCTTAAATGGTGAGCCGAATGGGGCCCATTTACTTTTTGGTCCTTTGGCCTCTCTTCTCCCTTATCACCCCGTAAAGTTCTCTCTTCCTCTCTCTCTGTTTCATTTCTGTCTCTCTCCTTCTTGGACCTCTCTCTTCATCGCTGCATCCTTTCTTTCCTCCATGCACCACTCACCACCCTTACCATTTAGCTCTGCGAGCTCCACGAACCCTGGAGTAAGGGAAGAACACTCAAATCTCCTCGTGTCTCGTGGCACCGTGGCTCTGCCACTATGCACCTCCTTCTCAAACTAACCCTCGACGTAGGTAAGCCCCTAGAATCTCTTGGATAGTGTTTTTATGCAAGTTTGGGACGATTTTTTAGTTGTTTTGGGGATGTTTGTGACCAAAAACTACTCGGGGATACTTCCCCAGATTTCTAGCGAGAATGCTCTGAGTTCCAGGTCTTTCCCCAGCCAACTTCGGCCACCACTTGGGAAACCAAAGGTATAATCCTAATCTACTCTTGTTTGTCTTCATTTTGGTGGATAGATCGTAGGTAATGGTAGAGAATCGAGGTTGACCAGAGCTTGGGAAGCTCGAGCTTTCGTGTCCGTGAAAACCAGTCTAAAAATCAGGTCGACACGACTCGATAACCCAAAGCCCAAAGCCCAAAGCCATTAAACCTAAAACTCAAATCAGGCATTTGGGCCATGGAACCCGACCTAAACTCTAGGCCCAGACCTAAATAACCCAAGCTCAAAACCCAGAACTGAACTGGCCCAACCCAGACTGAATCAGCCCAAACCCAGAACCCAGTCGGCGCGTGGGCCTTTGTCTTGGCCAGCGCGTGGAGCACACGTTCCTCCACCGGAGGTACTGTGCTCTATCAACATCCACGGCAACACTAGCAACTTTTTCGGCCAACTTTCCGGTGACCCAAATCGTCGCGTGGGGGTACTCGAGGTCCCTTTTATGTTTTTTGATGTCCTGAATCCATATATGATGTCCATTTCTTGAAATTAAATCATTTTAGTATAGTTTTATTAATTGGTACCTTTATGTGCTTAGGTGCAATTGTGTATGGTGTTTCCGTCCTCTCTTGTTTGCATGGCTCTTTGACAACAAAGTATATGTGAGTAGACCTCTTCTAAAATGCATATATTACTATTAGAAATGCATACATGAAAAGCATGATTTAATGGCTACATTTTACGAAACATTTATGAGTAAATTGGTTTCACGTTTTATGAATTATCATGCTTATTCGACTTTACGTTCTTTGTAGTATATATGATTGATGACTATATACCTACTTATGAACGTGCTTTTATAATATGACATTTTAGTTATTGAGCTCCGATTTGAGATAGATAGATATATATATATATATATATATTATGCTAATGTTCTTATTTGCTTATTTAGTGGTTATTCAATGATACTGCCTACGGGCGAATGATATATATATATATATAGAGAGAGAGAGAGAGAGAGAGAGAGAGAAAGAGCTTGGGTTGGGCGTCGGTTGGTGGCTTTGGTTGGAAGATATTTATATATTGCCTATGGGTGGGAGATGTAGTGCCTTCGGGTGAATGAAGATATATATATATATATATATACATATACATATATCTTTGTGCTACTAATACTAAGCACATTATATACGATATATGTTTTATGAAAGGTTTTATGGCATGCTAGTGTTTTTTGGAAAACCTATCACATGTTATGCTATTGAGTTTTCATAAACTTTGGGGGTTAGTATGTTGAATAACTGTTTTAGTATTACTTATATATCAACTTGGTCCACTCATGTTTTGTTTTGCGCCCCCTCAGGACTTAGAATCGAGGTGTACAATCTGATGTCAAGGCACTCCCACATCGGCAAGTCCTCTCGATGCAGGACCCATCCTTTTGTTCATTCAATTTTATATTATTCCTTTTAAGTATCTTGCGTAGTTGTATACTCTGAACACGTTCCATAAATGCATATTCATTATAATTAAATTTACAAGTTTTATTTATGTCGGTTAATTGTTCCTAGTTCTCATGCATCCTAATATGGCTTCATCACCTTCGGGTGTCGACCAGCACGTGCCTACCCTGGTGTTTGGAGAATATCAGGGTCAGGCGTGTCACTTTTATCATTCCCAGAGCAAGGAAGATGTGGCGTATTATTTCTTGATTTTGTTGGACACGATAAAATGTTTCCAATATTATTTTTCTTATTTATAATGATGATTCTTTGATTATCTTTAAAAAAATAATAATAAAAATAAATAAATAAATAAATAAACCTTTCTTTTATTATCTCGAAATTAATCTCATATTTGATGAATAGGATTAATTTTTAATGGGGTCTGGGAAGGTTAAAGACATTTTAATTTATTTTCGGCTACAGTTAAATGGTACACGTTCTCTTAAAGCTTTAAATCGAGAAATCACTTGTATTTTTACCACCTTAATGCCTAGAACCCAAAATTGAAAAGCAAATTTGACTTAAAATTCTACCTCATTTTTAAGGGGACAACTCATAGGCATGGTTCAAGTATCTTTAGTCCAAGCTTTCTCTGGGTTCCCCTTCGATTAGCTTGAGGGGGTGTGAAGGAACAACTCATAGCTAATAGTATGTAGAGGTGTATTTTAGAGTTTTGTAACTAATCTTTGTGTTAGAGATTTAATTAAGTACAATTAGTCACTAAGCTTTATTAGAGAAATGCATAAATACTGAGTTGAATTCCTTAGACCATCTCCAATCCTTGGCTTAAAACCTAAATTTTTTTAGCCCAGAAAATTTAGGTTTTAACCCATAAACAGTTTTTTTGCTCCAACCCTCATGGTCTAAAATTTTTAGCCTCAAATTATTAAAGAATGAATTTAAGCTATTTTTTCAAAAGTAACTTTAAAAAAAATTTATGTTGACTATCTTAATTTAATTTTATGAACATTTTAACCTAAAAATATATAGATTCCGATAAATATTGAAAAATTACTAAATCAACACCATGAAACTGATGAAATACTATGGAAGAATATTAAACACATGATAGAGATGTATATTAGCCATTGGATTTAATTTTGGATCATTAAAACTTCTTTCACCGTTAGATTTGACTATATTAGATATTAACTGTTGAATTAAATAAATTCATAAAATTAAAAATTAAACATTAAATCAATTAAACGTGGAATGTTGGATACCAACAGCCCATTTGAATGTATGCCATTAGATTGTATAAAAGAGTTGTTAGGCACATCAATGAAATAGGCAAGTGGGCGACAAGCTCACGTGGGTGGGTCCTCAATTTGTAGTGCATGGCGCGTTCCCTTTCGTCCTCAGGCGTTTCGCTTTCAACACCAAACTTCCACTCGCTCAAGTATCACACCACTAACCCAAACCTCCAAGAGTTGGAGTTGATCTTACACATTAAGAAATAAATATAGAAAACTAGATTTTAATCCTTCAATAAGATGAAGTTTAGAAAAATGTCTTAAAGACGATTAAAAATTGGTTTTAGTCCCTAGACTCTATTTAATGCCAGCATCTTATATAAGAAAATATTTTTGTAAAAATTTTTTGATACACATGTTTTTGCATATTTTCTTATATGCCACTAATTCATTACAATATATTTAGATACGAATATTTCGGTACACTACGTTAGTATAATATGTTTACGTACAGACATTTCGGTACACTAGTTTAGTATCATATATTTAGGTACGGAATTTTTCGGTACACTTATATTTTTGCATATTTTCTTATGTGCCACTAATTCATTACAATATATTTAAGTACGGATATTTTGGTATATTAATTTAGTAAAATACATTATGATAGGTACACTAATTAAAGAAAGTAAAATAAATATATTTCACCGTACCACTTGCTTTAATTGCTTTTTAGGAGAATAATATTGAATGGTATAACTACTACTGGAATACTACTTGCTATAGTTCCTAGTCGTCGGGTCGTCAACACGACTTTTTAGTTCTTGAGTTGTAGTAGTTGCTGGATCATCGACCTTTGTAGGTAGAATCACTGGTAAGCTACTCATCCTTAGACATCAATTCATTTCATTGTGCATATGACAGTTTTACTTCGATTATCCTCTTTATTTATAAACATTTTGCTTCTGTGATTTTATTCTCTCTAATTCTCTGCTTAAATTTCCAGTTTCTCAATAATCTGGGTACTTTGAAGCCATAAGTTAATACTTTTGGTAGATCGAGTTTGTCTTTTTGTTCTTAGCCATAAGTGGTCTTGATCTTATAATTTTGATGAATTTCTGTGTTTTCATCGCATTAGGACGGATCGCATGTCGATTTTTTGTGATCTGTTACGATGTCTTCTTTGCTGTGATGATGAGCGTGATAATGCTTATCATTCTCTCAGTCAATTTCCTGCGCAAACCGCTTCCAACAAGCGTGATTACTATTATGAAACTTCCAACAGAAACACTTCCCAACCCTTCACGTCTTTTACACCAGCTGCATCACCCCTTAAACCGCCATCAACCCAATATAATCATGTCATATCTCCCTTTAGTTCATCTTCATCGTCTCCCAACCCCAAGCCTGCGTCGTCTTTGTCCAAACTCAATACATCTTCATTATCCCCTAAGTCACCACAATCTTGTTCCTTTGAATCGTATTCAACATCCCTTGCAACCCCAACATCTTCAACTAAGCTGCCCCAATCTACTTTTGTTCATTCATATAATTCATCTAAATCACCCCTCAACCCCCCAACATCTTCATTCAAACTGTCACAATCTTTCTCTAGTTCTTCAGCTAGCCCTCCTATACCTTCTTCGTCGTCATCTACGTTTTATACTAGAACTTCTAATATCGTCTCGTCCTCTAAGGCACCTCAGGCTTCATCTAGACCAAATTCATCATCCTCAAAGCCTCCAACTTCTTCTCCGAAACCACCTTCATCTTCCTGTACACCAACAGCTTCTTCCAAACCATCTTCGTCTTCCTCATTTACTTCATCGTCCCCTAACCCTCCAACGTATTCGCTTAAACCTAAGAAACCTTCTCTTCTCAATGCATCATCTCAGTTTTCTCCTAAACTATCTACATCCGCCTCTAACCCACCTCCGGCATCTGCTTCGAAACCATGTCCATCTTCCTCTACTGGACCTCCCGTATCTTCCGCTAAGCTCCGTCCAATGTTTAAGCCAGCTCTATCTCACGCCTCTTCAGATGTATTAGATCAGAAGGGGAAGAAAAGTTATGTATGGGTTGAGAAGGATTCATTACCTATCTTCGCAATTCCTGACAATATAAAAGATTTGATCAAAAATGACATTGCACCGAAAGTTCTAAACCAGCCTCTGTCTCCCGTGACTTATAAGGATTATTTTGCTGCTCTCTTATATGCTGAAGAGTTCTTCTATGAGGTACGCTTGAATATTTGCCCTTTCGTAATGCCTTTTTCCTCTTACTTGTTACTTACAAAAACTATGACCAACATCTAACCTTTTACTTGAGAAAATTTTGAAAGATATGAGGGATTCTATCTGCTTATGAAGTCTCGTTAAGTTGTGTTCGTAGTACTCTACTGCTGCCATTGGTTGGTGGTATGAATTACAGATTGAATCATGCTTTGGTTTGAAACAGAAATGGACTCATTTCGATTTGGAGAATGTCACTGTAGAGTTGCAGAGAGCAGCAGTTTTTAAAAAACCGGACAGGGAAGAGAAAACCTTTGTAGCATTTGATATGGCTTCTTTTCCTGAGAATCCCCCATTCCTTTTGTCGAGGGACTTGGTCCATGTACGACCATCGGGGACAAATGCCGAGCCATTTCAGGTAAACTACGAGCATCGATCCATACACATTCATTGGATTCTAAATGTATATCTCATTTCCTTTAATTATCCATTGACATGATCTTACCTGTTATACAGGGCTTTATATATCGCGTCGTCAAGAGCAGTGTTGTTTTAGTAGAATTTGAAGATGACTTTTATGTTCATCATTATTCGACCCGAAAATATGATGTCAGCTTCTCATTCAATAGAGTCTGTTTGAAAAGAGCTCACCAAGCTGTACAAAATGCATCGGATGCTTTGTTTAGGAACTTCCTCTTTCCTGAGTCTGTTTTGCGTACGAACATTCCCACTGCACCAGCGCTGCTGTGCAATGATCATAAACTTGATCTCAATCAATTATCTGCAGTTCGTCATATTTTAAGCATTCGTGGCTCACCACCTTACCTTTTGGCTGGCCAGCTCTGTGTTGAAAAGAGCGGTTTTAGGCTATCAAGAACTGGAGTGGTGATTAGTGAAGCAGTGTACCAGTTATGCCAAACTTCACACGGAAATAGGATCCTTATATGTGCTCCTAGTAACCGCTGTTGTGATCAGCTTATGAGAAGCTTGTTGAAATGGATTCCTGAGTCGGATATGTTTCGAGCGAATGCTGCATTCCGTGAGAAAGAAGAGGTACCTGAAGACATCCTCCGATCATGCCTTTACAAAGAGACTTGCTTCTCTTGTCCTCCGACGGAGGAACTTTGTGAATTCAGAGTGATCTCCTCCACTTTCATGAGTAGCTTTCGGCTGCATGATAAAGGTCTAACTGCTGGACATTTTAGTCATATTTTTCTGGTGGATGCTTCGTCTGCTATTGAGCCAGAAACATTGGTGGCCTTGACTAGTTTCGGTGACAAAAATACTACTGTTATAGTTACCGGTGAAGCAGGAGACCGTTCACGTTGGGTTCGAGCTGACATCGCTAGGAAAAAGGGACTGAAGATTTCATTCTTTGAAAGACTTTCCAAGTTAGGGCCATAATGTGTTGAAGCCTCAGTTCAATGCTCATCACACAATTGGAGCATTGTCAAGAGTAAGACTCACTGAACATCTACAGGCAACTTTCTGAGTTTTTTCG